TGTAAATGGTTATTTTGAGGAGCTTGACGAATCAGTCTATAGAGATGGCATTAATAGACTGGAACACCGCTATGAGAAATGTATCAGCCTTGGAGGAGATTATGTTGAGAAATAAAAAAAAAAAATTTTTAAAAACCTTGTTTTTCTTGGTCAGGCCGGAAACTTATCAATCCACCCTCGTACATGATACTTTATTCGTAACAAATTTAAACTCATTTACTACATAGGAATCAAATAATAGAATTTACTTTATAAGTTGATTCTGCTTTTTCAAATAAAATACTAACAGCAACTTACTTTACTTTAGAAGGAAACATAAATTTTAGTTTATCAACGTCTAGTCTACATGATTCAATTCAATAAGTAGCGGCCGATAGACGAAGCTTTTGGATAATCCTTTAGGAGCAAACCACTTTGTATTCTCACTAGAAATCAACCAGCTGTGGCTTAAATCGTGAACGTTGTTTAAAAAAAGCGGAAATTTGATTAAAAGCTCATGTTAAATTACAGAACACATAACAGAACGGTATTACGCTCTCAGAAAATTTAGTTTACGAAAATCCGTAGTTTTGACGGAGCTGTACGAGTTGGAAAATGAAATAAACGGATTGTCTCATTTTTCCAAAAATCAAAATTTACAAAGAAACGATTAATGGAAGAGATGATTAAAACTAACAATTAAAATTAATCTAAACAAATGCCTATTACATGCTGTTGTTCTTTCACTTTAATTGAAATTAATAATCACTCCGGCGGGACATAAGAACTACTACGAAGCTTTAAATTAATCCATAATTACCACGAAAATAGCACGTTCCACTGAAATTTGCTAATATAGAAGTAGAAAGTTTCATCCACTCCTCTTACAAAGAACAAAGGAGATGAAGATTACTTATTATTATTAAAGTAATTAATTTACTTTAAGAAACACAGGCTTCTTTACGTTAGCCTTTTCATCTTTCGCTTTCATTGTCTGATCATGAAAGCTCGGGCAGTGGTACATTCGGAAATTGAGAAGTTTCCAGTGAAAACCTAATATCATGAAATATTCTACAGACATTGTCAGAAGTACAGAAAAAGATATAGAGTACCTTTTATCCAGAAAACAAACTGTTCCCGAGGGATACAACATTTAGTTCTACGTGGTCGTCGATGGTCTTTGACAAGTATTTTCACATCAACGCAAGCGAAGCCGCGGGTAAAACCTATCATGAAATTTTGTACACACATTGTCAGGGGTACAAAAAAGGGCATAGGGTACCTTTTATCCAGAAAAGAAGTACTGTTCCCGAGATATAGGACAATTAGTTCTGTATGGTCGTCGATGATCTTTGACACGTATTTTCACATCAACGCAAGCGAAGCCGCGGGTAAAACCTAGTAAAAATATAAACAAACCGTTAGCAAAAGGACGAAGTTTTCAGTGTAAGGGCAACTAATTGATGTCAAGGTGTTGAATTACATCCCCAATTATCTGCTTCCGCAAATAAGCATCAGAAACTAAAATAGTGCAGTTGGGACAAGCATTATTTAAGCACTCTCGGGTATCAACACGACGCAGCTTCTCAAGCCACAAGTCACTCCATTCGCTCCCTGTGCGGTAATAATATAAATACAGCGAAGCGCAAAACGTGTTAAGGGTGGCCGACGCATAGGCGCCGCGACGACCAATTCCGATCCAGGCCGAAAGCTCCGGCGTCGCCGACGGGCGTAGCGTCCAGCTGAATCCCAAAAGCTGGAAGCTGCGATGCAACATTTCAGTGCTACGCGAACAGATCCCATGAAAGAGGCTCTCCGTTCCTGCCGAGTATTCACACGATCGGGAGACAGACGTGAACTCACAGAGGGTGGAAACTTAACATCGACAAGCTTTTAAGAAGACAACCAGCAAGGGTGAGCTTTTTGAGTTAATAAACTTGAAGTTCTTTTTATACGTATGTTTAAATAATCAAAGAAGTAAATATACACAATAACAATAATTAATAGGCATATTATATATTATATAGTTATAATTAAATATTAAATAGATGCTTATTTACATTACGTTAACTTATTTAAATAGTTTGTTAGTACAAAATAGTTAATAAATAAGACGCGTTTGGGTTATTAAAACTCTCCGTGAAAACTTTGCGGAAAACATTTTTGATTTTTCGAATTCTTTTAACTATTAGAAATAGAAAATGACAAATTCTTTTATTACTATAAAATATATGTGAAATAATATAATTTGTTACCAAATTACTATCAAATATTCCTAATATCATTCTTTAGTTTATTAATTCTGAAACCGAAGTAAATCTGTTAACATATAATTCTGGACACGTATTTATTATAAAGTATCTAATAGAAGTATAAATAATGCACTTTAGATATTATAAAACAATATCCCACACTGAAATTGAAAAGGATTCCCGATTGCTTTCAGTTGGTCGAAGATGTACATGTATACGTTGTGAAAAGGTGATGCGATATGACGTCAAGTAGCCCTCAAGGATGATCACGTTAAATTAAAATTGAAAACGGATATTGAATTTATATATAAATGCGGAATCGCGGTTCCAATTTTCCGCTTCATACGTATAATCGAATACTGGTGGATGAATAGAATAATAAAATTAAAATTTACGTTCCCAGCCTTTTTCCTTTCTTACAAAGGCGCTGAAGTTTCATAAATCATCATTATTTAATCGAGGTTGAAATTGTTATCTCAATTTCATACGCCCAATATATAAAATAATAAATTGTCGGACAATTGCTTAAATTAAGATAAATCAGTGTGGAAGGAGCAATAGGGATGGTATTAGAATATAATAGAATAGCTTTTTAGGATACCTTTCGTACATGAAGGGCTAGTTAAAGACATATTAGAAGGAAAGAGGAGTACAGGTAGACGTAGATTAGATTACTGTTCACAAATAGTTAAGTATAGTTTTAGAGAAATGCGAAGTTCAGGATAGGAAAGAATGGAGGTGCATGTCCACTAGTGTTAGGACTGACGACCTGATAATGATGATGAAATAATAAATGAAGATTTATATCCACATGAAAAGAAAGTGCAACTACTTAACAGTCGCAAAGCACATACATAATGAAACAAACGTCACCAAAAAGGGAGCAGTTAACAAGAAAGGGATAATTAACTGCTAACTAGAATAGCTCTGGCGGTTTATGTACTTGTGTTTATTCCACACATGTCACATCCTGTCATTTCATTTTGCGTTTTGCAATTTCTATCTACGGTTTATTAACCACAAACCATTCTATAAGAACACAAATAATCTCTCCGTATTCATGGCCTGAAACATTCATCTGCTTATAGATTTTGATCTAAATGAAAATGCATTAATTTAACTTAAATGTATAAAATATACTTATTAAATAAACATTATTGACTAAAATTTCGTGATGTCTCCTTCAAATTTCAAAATTCCCGAATATCAATCTTCAATCGATTGAGCTTTGACATTTAGTAGATTCGAGACCTCACCAAGGCAATTTCAGAACTATTGAAGATGTTTCCAATTAATTGTTAATTGGACATAATCAAGTTATACGTCCTAGGCAGTTTGCAGTCCTTGATGAAGTCCATAAATTACGTTTTACTTAAAGTCCATATAAATTCAGTACGATATCAAAATATATTAGGTATTTCAATTGGTTCATTGGCATTTTCCGCTAGATACAAGCGAACAATAATTCAATGAACAAATTTCGCTCAAAAATAAATTGCAAAAATATCCGGTTCAATAAGGCAACAAAGGACTAATTATTCCACCTCTCAAAGCATCAATACTGTTCTCGATTTTAATGACGGTAAATTTTAACTTATGGAATTTTCCCAATGTTTCTGCGTAATATTAACAAACACAATTTTTATTGATACACAAGTAAGCGTGGGTTTTATATAAAAAAAAGACAATTGAATGGGTAACTTTCTTTAAAGTCCTTTCGTCGTTCCCCTGGTTTTCCTCAACACTGAAATAAGTACAAAGAAGTTCCTTGAAAGCAAACCCTTTGTGATTTATAATATTCTTAATTTTCTACCATAATTCTATTCATTCACACTTTGATGGTAATTCTGATTACGTTCACTGTACCGTATTTTTGTATTACAATAACAACAAAAGGATAAAAAGCAATTTTGCAACTGTAAATTTTCGTAGATGGGATTTGTTGCGTTTATTACTAAAAGGGAGAGGACAATAATCCACATTTATGTGCCGGGCAAATGAAATATCACATGGGTATGTCTTTTTTAGCTGAACAATTCTGTGTTTTATATTCGAATAAAGCCTCCAACAAATTAAATCTTATTTCATTTTCTATTGAGTTTAACGAGTATATGTAACTAACTACAGAATTGCGAATGTAAAATGAATTGCAACATAAAATTCAATTTACTACAGATCTTATTTTTACTCACAGTGAGTATTATAGGTATACAATTTTCTAGAACAATTACGTATCTACCTACTAACATTTATGAATTGCTACCGAAGCAATTACAAAAGTATTCCAATTAACTGAATAAATATAAAGAATAAAATACTATTGAAGCAGTAACAGTAAAAACATACTAAGATTAGTTACTGATTTCATTTCTATGAATTATTGTAGTGATTAAAACGTTAAACTTCATTGCGTTAGTATTGATGATGCGGAGAGAGATACAACACAAGCGAGATGAAGACAATCTGCGAGACTTGAGTACTTATTAAGAAGATATTTCGAGACAGTGATATTTTCATTGTAAAATATCTTTTTTGGCGAATAATATAACGAAGAACGCGCCTTTTGAATAATTATAAAATTCGTCGCTGTATTCCCTCTAAGTTAGTTACTGCTGCTTTGTAATCGAGCCGAAATTCGAAAAAGTCCAAATCAAGGAGAAGCAATAAAAAGGGTCGGCCTCATTGATATTATGGGGTCAATTTTCAGTTGAACGATTTAGAGTTTTAAAGGAAACATTTATTTTCAAAGTGTTTATTTCATATCTACGATTTAAAATCTATTTTTTATGTTTTTCTTTGATCACTTCAAATTATCGAAGAAATCGGTGTCATCATTGTGAACTAACCGACAATGCCGGCGTTTTTGCAGGCGGACATAAATCAACGTTATACGAGGGAAGTCGTTAATCAAGAAGGGAGATGTATAGGTAAGCATTGTTGGGATGTGAACCTGTGGTATATCCCTGTAGTGTCGAAGTACCCACCACAGTTGAATTTTTCGAAGTACTTGACCACAGAGGTTTTAATGTTTACTTTAGAACCTCGAAAAGAACCCATTAGGTGGTGGGTAGTCGCATGCTCTAACTGCAGTTATGTTTTATATGTTTTGTTCCTTGCTAAACGTTTCTTAATTACTTATGAAGAAGCTGTTCAATTAAGTTTACCATATCAATCAAGAAATACATCTCGTAAGAAGGAGATGGTGTTTGTAAGATTGATTTAAAACAATAAATTAATTAAAAATTATCTGCTAACTATCACCAAGCTTCGATTTTTATTGGATACCATCAGCATTTTACTGAACTAGACCCGGATATTTCGTAATCCAACTCTTAGTGCGAGTATTTTGGGTAAGTTCTTAGGAGAAGGGTAATTGATGGCATTCGTATCGCGATGGTAACTGAATCAATCCCCACATTACGGGAAGCCCCCATCATTGATAACGGTCCTGGGAGGTTTCTTTAGAGTAGGTATTCATTTTATTATCTTTGGCATCCCCATTTTTTCTGCGAGGCTTTCACGCAATAATCTCAAGTTACATATATCGTTGCGAACGATTAACCTACTTTTGGAAATTCATTGTGATGGTACGCTATATGGTAGGATCTAATACTACATTCCTGTGAATACGACTTATAATAAAAAAAAATTTCTGATTTTGTGATATCTACAATTATTCCAACCGAATCAGACAAATATGTACCTACCCGAACATAGAAAGCATATGTTAAGTACCTTTTCTTTTGCAAATTAAAACTGATTAGATACAAAATTAATTTCATGCCACTGCAGTAAAAATTCATATATATGCATTTAGTGAGCTCATTAATCCTTGTTCGTAATCCAACTCGTTATTATTTTTAAGAAGCAGAGATAACTCTTTTCAAAGAGCCTTTGCCTGTTCTTGCAGGAACTATAATTAAAGTTTTAATAAATGGGTAACTAAAGAATCACATAAAACCTCTTTAGCGACAGCAAGCATGAAGCTAGTAAAATTGTAAAAACATTCTAATTACATTTTTCGAAATTCTTTTACTAATACGTCAAATGCAAAAATTATTCATTATTCTTTAATTCTTTAAAGATGAGAATGAGATAATAATAAAACTGAACTTGAAGTTGCTTATGAGGATTACAGAAAATTCCCAAATATTAGACAAACAAAAACTAATAAGTATACTTCGTTTAGTTTCTCTAGCAATGTGACCTTCAGCTTGACTGGCGCAAAGTAGAAAAGAACAGCACTAGGCCAGAAAAGGAAGGAGACAACTCTCGGACAAACTCTTAACTAAAATTACATTGCTCAAATGTGCTGTTATTGGTATCGATTACTACTGAAAATATCAACGGCATGTTTATTTATATTTGAAGACATAATAAAGGCTTTAACGCTTGTTTTCGACTCGCACTACTGTTCATGATTGAACAAAACTTTTGGCAGGTACTGTATGAAAAAGTGTGTTTAATGAACAAGAGTCGAGAGTATAATGAGCTTTTTTCTCCCTACCTACGATTTTGCCAGTGCGCATCCAAGAAATTGGAAGAGGCACATCGGTAGAGAGAGTAAACGAAGTATACAAAAGTTTAAAAATCGCCGACTTCCACAATTCTTAGCAATTTTAGGAGTAATATAACAAAGAAACAAACAGATAGATAGATAGA